CAACAACGTCTTCGACAGCAGACCGGCCGATTTTTGGCGAAACGGCATCAACAAATTGGTCGATAGATTGGAGGAGGTCGCAAACAGTAATATGAGGATACATCACTGACTAATTTGTTGTTATAATTATTATTTTTTGTTAAAATAAAACTTTGTGAAAAAACTCTACGAACTTATGTTACAACCCAATAAATATTGGTAGATATCACTATGTTGTATTCTCACTCCATCAAGCACAACTACTACCAATATGGACGGTCAATAGTAGAAGAGAGGAAAGTCATAGTAGGCCTATCACTTACTCTATAGAACGATTTTGGCAGGTGCTAAATGACCATCCAATCAGTGCGAAATTACTGTGAGGCACCTCGGCTTCTTTGAAATTGAACTCTCTGGTGGCAGATGCATTTAAGTAATGAAAATGTGCTACGTTCTAGATACGCATGGAAGATAGATTTCTAATAAGTTCAGGTTAGCGATGCCCTAACCTTTGTCTCATGCCTGCAAAATTAATCGCAGGTCTGCAGAGCTTTGGAAGCTGAAATACTGGCAGTTTGGAGGGTGATTACAGCAATGCCACTGCTTTTAAGCAGTTCCTCACTTTGAACGTCTACCTAGCGAAGCAGTCATAGCTTTTATAGTTTAAATAAAAATGTGACGAATGCGAAGTCCAACACCAGAAGCGGATTCGTAAACTCCCCCTCGATTTCCAATTTCTCAAAACTTCTCTGTCAATGGAATTCACTCCGCACGCAAGTCTGACTTTGACAAAAAATGACAAAAAAACTGGTTCATGACAAAAACCTTCATCTATTACTCACCATCCTCTTCACTTTCCTCGTCCTCCTCGTCCTCTTCATCATCTTCTTCTTCACTATCAGACTCCTCTTCCGGCACCTCCTTAAAGGAAATGGTAAATATAACAAAGAGGAAGACTGTGTATAGACTAAACCTGTTCAAATCAACAAAAAAAAACCTGAACGGGTTTCCCTTTGTTTTTCTTCTTGTTGCCAACAGCGAGTGTCGCTTCGTCATCCTCGTCCTCTTCATCAGACTCATGCTCATGTTTGGCCTAAAAGACAGCTTTGACAATAGGAAAGAATTACCGACCAGAAAAGATGTTGTACAGCAACTTCTTACCCGTTTCGGCGTGCTTTTCGCGTGCATGGGGGTATTCGATGCAGACTTCGCCTTCTTCGTTTTGTGGCTGTCTAGAAGTGCAAGAATATATCGGGATAAACAAAGTAAAAAGTCGGCATGTTCATTGTTGTCTGACTGAAGATTTGATTCGATCGGGAAATCAATGCACTGGAAAATTTGATAGTGACAGGATGAACTCACTGATGTTAATATCGTCTTCTTCATCATCTTCGAAGACCTTTCTCTTCTCACTGAAGGATCCTCGCCCACCTCTTGCTGCTCCACGGAAATCTGACTGACCTCGACCACCCCTTGGCGTGAAACCTCTTTGATTTCCACGAGGGGTAAAATTACCACGACCCCCACGTGGACTGAAACCACCACGGCCACCTCGGGGACTGAAACCTCCTCTTCCTCGGTTGTTTTGGGATAATGCATCACCTCTGTTACCGGAAAAACTTCGACCTCGATCACCACCTGAATAGAAAACAAAATTATGGAAAGACAAAACAAATTACACCGAATAAAGTCCCCACTTGAACCTCTTCGCTTGTCCGGCGTGTTAAACCCACGACCACCACCTCCATTTCCTCGTCCTGAAATTTTTAATATAGCACGTTCCGTCTCGGATAATGTGGTGAAGTCAGCACAACTGAGGAAACAGGCATATGCATTACCTCTGAAGCCACCGCCTGGTGAGCCTCCTCTTGATTTGAAACCTCCTTGTTTAAAAGAATCACCACCGCTGAAGCCACCACGACCTAAAGAGGAAGCACAGTAATGCACAGTAGCACAGTAACATGATTTTGACTACTGGCCAACTGCAAAGCGGGGCTTTTTATAAATTAATGTAAAAATGGCCATTACTGATTTGATCAGCTGACGACTCGAAAAAGGAAAGCTGTTGAAAAAAACCTAGAATAGAGCGAAGGCCCCCAGCCCTGAGCAGTCTGTTGAAAACATCGTCAAAGAAGGAGATGTTAGCGGTAAGGATGAAGAAGGGGATTTCAACTACCCATATTACCGCCGTTTATCAAGTATTTATTTTGAATAAGAACTAACCTCCTCCTCGACCTCTTGCTGGACTGTCAAAACCCATAGTTCCTGGAAGTGGCAGTTGATTAAAAAAAGAAAAAATTCTCGAGAACGAACAAGTAGGAACCAAGGAAGGAATGCAGAGAGCATGAGGTGATTACCGTACAAAACTAGGCTCGCCTTAATTTACAATGTAACTCGGTTGCGCCTGCGGAGTACTCTTCGCCATCCTTACACAAATAACATGAAGCAAACAGAAACATTAACAAAACAAATCTCCTTCAAAGGTTACTCCGACAGTAAATTTTCAAACCTTACTAATGTTAAATCCAATTTTGTTTGCCCCATTAAGCCCTAGTCAACTCGTTCCCTTGAGGATTTATCATTGTTTAGCGAAGCTCCTGAGTTCATTCGACAACTCATGCCACAATTAAATGAGTCTAGCAAAAGCACTTTATGAAAAAAAAACAGAAACAACACCGTAATTCAAAAAGTAACGCGAGGCCTAATCTTTGATACATCTATTTCACCGTTTGCAGTGGATCGTTGCAGGACAGCATTGCGCTCTGTCTACAGGCTACTCGAACAAAGTCCTTTGAAACATGCCACCGCACCCATTTTTCTAGGCTCGTCTGCTGCACTCCTGCTGAATGTGGTCTCTAAATGTTGTGCTTGTCTGATCAGTGAAACCCTCTGTGACTTCTTCCGTGTGCCTCATCTCGAGTATTTTTCTCTGCGCTCCAACTTTCAGTTTGCAGGGAACCTAGGAAAGTTCAAGTAGTCATACGCAAAAATTGCTTCTTCGTCTGATTCTCTCAGCGAGAGAAATTCTGGATGACAATAGCCCTGCAACCGTCACGAAGTAGCAAGAGGCTGTTGTTGTTGATTTTTGGCACCATCCTTCTATCCTGTGAAGAACTCCTCAATACTTGACGCTTAGCAGTGGCGTTACATATATCGGAAGGGCGTTCTTTATCCTTTCAAATTAAAGCCATCTTACTTCGACCTTCGGGAAGGGCAGTGTCGAACACGGCGTGTTCGAGCTCAAAGTAGTTGGCGGTAGTGCAGTGATGATTGACTTGCCTTATTTTTGCTTCCTTTATGATTACTTCAAGAATCATTAATTATCTGCGGTTCCGTTGGAAGGGATCCATTATCAAATGCCACCGATAACGCCCATCATATCGAGTTCCGGAACTGTGAAAATTAGATATGTATCAATCGATTCCGTTCTCTGTGATTCCGCTGCCACGGTTTCAAAGTTCCATCTGGTTAGATTTCCACGACGTTCTCGTTCGATGCATGTCTAATCAATGATAACAGTCTGAGTGATTTCACGATTTCCTCACTCTTCGCTTGTTTTAATTACTTAAACTAACGGAATTTCGCGTAACACTGTGAATAAATTAAGCTCTTGTGATCTGATTGTTACGGTACAGTCTGCCTCATAAATACGACGCAGAAGTTGTCTTTCCAATCTTCGAGTCCTCTTGTGGTTTGGAGACGTTAACATGACAAAATATTAGGTTTTCATCTCTGTCAGGTTATTATCAGCAAAAAAAGCTTATATTCATGTGGTGGAACAAGAAGAGAACAAAATGTCTCTGTGTCCTACCTCCCTTCCGTTCACAGCCCTTTTCTTTCTTCAGCGCTATTTCTATATGGACCATTAGCGACTTCCTTTGGATCTTGGCATGAGTATCGATTGTGTGTGTGCTGGACATTTCTGAATGTTCTCTTTTGTGACCTGCTTCCGATTTATGGTGCAGACCTTCTGGACATGTTGCAACTTACCAGCTTATCCAATCGAATTGGCATCAGTGCCACGGTATATCAAGCTGTCTCCCTTACGCGAAACAATTTCAGTGTCGCCTAAACCTACATGCCGGGCGAGTTTTTTGACAAGCTGCCTACTGTTCGAATCTAGTTCGTTGCGGGGCCCACAATCATCCCTTAAGTGTAGCTTCATCTTGGTGCTTTGTTTGGATAGCTACTGGAAGAAATGATGTTAAGGGTGTCCGCGCCTATGAAAGATCGGAATGTAAAGGAAAAGATGACAATATACGTTGTTTGAAGGAGAAGCGGGTCGTTTGGCAAAGGAATATTGATTTTCACCGAGTACGAACCTTCTTTAAATCACTGGCACCTGGCAACATGTGGAAGAAGGGAAAAGCAAGATCTGCTGTGTTACTGTTTCTTTGCTCAAAAAAAGAAACGGAAATTGATTTTTGGATAGAAAAGGAGGTGAAATTGAGTAAGGCCGACTCTAATATTTACTCAAACTCAGAAGAAGGTAAACGCAGTCGTAGTCAAATACTGGGAAAAGGGTTATCTATGTTAATGTAATGTAATCGAAATCAATGTATTGTGGCTCTCTACACAGTGAACCATTAGGAAACCGTTTCAGGTTGGTTTAAGTACTGGTTATATGACATCTTTTCCATCCAAAGCTCACTTCATTATTAATTATTAGGTTGAAAAGGGAAGTGAAGCGCACGACACCGGGTAACAACGGGCCAGGTGATGAACATCCATTCGTGACAGCAGTATATTTGGAAGCCAACTGATCCAATACAATGTATTTTGAGGCAAAGCGGTGTGCTCTTTGTTCTTCTTCTTTTGCTTGTGGCCTCGGACTACAGTAATTTCAATTATGCTGTACTGATCCTGAAGCCACGTCATTTTTTTGGGTTGCCGTACTATGAGAATCTGTGAGAAGGAAGCAATAGACAGGAGATCTTGCACCTCTTCACTACTTCATGTTGCTAGGTGCCAGTGATTTAGAGAAGATTCTTACTCGCTAAGAAGTCAAAATCCCTTTACCAAACGACCAGCTTCTTCTTCAAACAACGTTATTGTCATCTTTTCCTTTCCATTCGGATCTCCCATGGTGCGGACACTTTTGACTAAATTCAACAAAAAAATTCGCCCGGCATTTTTTCAGGGTATTGGTTTAGGCGACAGTGACAACCCTCATTATGTCGTTGGTAGATTCACCACACGTCTCAATACCCTACTGGAATACTAAGCAGCCTGATTTAGAAATCGACAAGAATTTCAAATGCCCAAGCTTTTCGTCGCCTCTCAATACCATATAAGTTCCTTTACAATCCTGTTTGTCAGAACTCTCTGACGCGTTTATTTATTCTCAATCATAGGCAAATACTTGTATATGGCTATACGGATAGCTTAACATTCTTAACTTAACATTCATTGGATTTGGTGAGAATATTGGAGAAATCTGTTCCCATTAGGTGTCAACGCTAATTTTAATGTTCGTGATCATGGTAGCAAACTTGCTTCGAAAATTCAATCAGGTTCTAAAACTTAACGAAGTGTCCGTGTATGAGAAACAGGCCCATTCTGAGAACAACCTTTTCTAGGGTAACAATGAACATCCGTTGTGCTCGGCCGGAGGATCTTATAAACACGCAGCATGCAAACCTTTTGTGCCTTCCAGAAAATTACCAGATGAAATACTACTTTTATCATGCTCTATCCTGGCCACAGCTTTCATATGTTGCAGAAGATCATAAGGTGAATTCTTTTTTTCACATTTTATCGCCCGTCATATGGAAGACATCCAAAGTTAGATGGGGTCATAGAAGAAGTTAACGGAAACATACTTCACCTTGAAAACATTGTTAACTCTGTTATTTCTGTTGCTTAGCGCCCAAAACATTGGGTTATTTAATATTGTGGCCACTATTGGAGCTCTTCACTGAACTCCTTCACGCCAAACGATAACCAGCTCCGAATTTTGTAGGGAAATGTTGTTGGATACGTTCTTGCAAAAATGGAAGAAGATCCTGATGAGGAACCTCATGGCCACATAACTTCGCTGGCTGTGAAACGGTCATACAGAAGGCTTGGTAAAAATTTAGCCCAATTTAATTTATCAACAACTTGCCATTCTTAATTTTTTTCTGAAACATTAGTTCATTTCCAAGGACTTACCCACCNCCCTACCTGCTGTTCTCAGACTCGGATGCTGATTGTAATAATACTTGAGAACTTTCTACACAGACATGCTCTTAGGGTTGATCCCATTCAAAGTTTACAATAAATTTTCGATTGAAGCTTCACTCTTTCCACATGGACTAGCGTAGACGAATCCCTGTTTACATATTGTGTTTTGTGCATATAGTCATGCTCTTGCCGTCGCAACCAGCCCTCCCTTCACTTCGCTCTCAAGGTAGTGCCCATACTGTGATTGGCAGATAGACAGTCAAAGTTTCTGGGTCTTGTAACAGTCGAAGATTGTGGATCGTATAAGGTACAAAAAAACGGTTGCACTTCTTCTCTACGGCATGCCACAATCTGTTCAATGCCATGAAACAAAAAAATGATTGTGGTCAGAACTGTTCTTTATTCCATTAGAATAAAAAGTATCGATCTACAGAATTGCATGTAGCAGGGATTCAGCTCTCGTTTTATAGTATTCCCACCTTTAGGGCTTGCTCAGAAGCTTATGGATCAAACAGCTAGAGCAATGATTGAAACATTTAATGCTCGATATGTATCACTACACGTGCGAGTAAGTAACAGAGCAGCACTGAATCTCTATCAAAACACTTTGAAATTCACAGCCAGTGAGGTTGAACCGAAGTGAGTTGCTTTTGTGTTTCGCAGCTTTATTGAAGAGCCCCGTGTCTGGATTTTCAAACTTTTCAAACTGAATTCATGTCTGAGTTAAGGTATTATGCAGACGGTGAGGATGCTTACGCGATGAAAAGGTGTCTTGTTCAATTTGCTACCGAAAATAACATCGAGCCAGCTGATAAGGAAACTTTTTTTGCCGTCAAGTCAAATGATGAGAAGAAAAAGAGTAGGCAGTAAGAAATGTTACTAAAGTTGCTTAGTTCATTTCGATCTCTTCAGATTTGTCGAAATTTGTACTTCGTTTGTTTCTCTCGATGAAAAGTTTTAACAATGGATTTGTTCTTGTTGTTGCCTTGTCAAGATGTTGGACTTGTTCATTATACGCTAGATAGATAAAGACATTCTATACCGTATGCTTCTTTCTTGTCGTATGTTTCTACAAATAATATCTCCGCTGTTTCTTCGAATTACTCATAACTAGTTGTTTATTGCAGAAGGACACAACGAAATAAGAGGCTGGTGCCATCTAGAGCGAGTGGCTTGTAAGTGCCTCTGCTTAGTTCGAGATGACTGCTGATTCGCCACCGTATGAATCATTCGAAAACGCGAGCTCATCTGAGAATGAGTGAGCCTTGCTTCTCATGTTATATGTAGCTGTTAAGTGCTTTCATTTACAGTCCAAAACAGTCTTATCAATCGTGCTCATCTGTCCCTGATGTCTCGGAGGAGCCCAGTACTCATGTCACAGGAGCCACTGCTGAGTCTAGTTATTTACTGTTTTTCCAGGTGTGTCTATGAATAAGCAACATCAAAAGATAGCTAGTCAAATGTGGAGACTATTTCACTATAAGTTTACTATCAGTTCGAAAATACGACTACTACTACATTTTTATACTAATCAATGGGTAGTTTATTCACGATTTCGTTCCTCATTGGGTCATATGTGGAGACCGTTTACAGCCACCACTTCATAGGTTCAACTCGGACACAAGCCAATGGGGGGGGGGGGGGGGGGGGGGGGGNATTCACGCGTGACCCCATTAGAGCTCTTCGCGCACGCAGCATTGTTTCAGTACCTTTCTGTTGAGATGGACCAAATAAATTTGCAGTAGTCCACGGCTTCACCATGAATTAGAGAAATATCTTTACTATGGCCATGAAGCCCTTTCGAGATTAGGAATTCACACCATAGTTCGTCAATTTACTTGTTCAACGTTCAAAATAAGAATAACTTCAAATTTTTTGATCCTAGAAAACGCAATCCTTCTGTAAACGTGCACAGTTGGTTATTTCTTTACTTATTCTACTTATAATTTCTTATTTCTTTCATTATGATGGTAGGCATGATGTTTTAGCGTGTTTTGTTCGATGACCTTATTATTGGCGCGTGAATCGCACCACATCCCAAGCCAATGAAGAATTCTGAAAGTCATATAGAGTGCGCTTCAGAGTTGAGTAGCATTAGGTATTTTGGGGTGGTTTATCCAGGTTACGATTGTAATTAAACTTGTGCTGAGCTCATTGTACCTTCTAGGTTCTTATTATATTATTGACGTGAGTAATACCCCGCTTAAATATAGTTTCCAGGTAGTTTTTCCTTTCTCCATTGCTGGTGTTGGAATGGTGTTCGCAGGCGTCGTTCTTGATTTGGTGCAACACTGGCGACTTTTCAAAGAAGTCCCTGAGATATTTATACTCGTTCCCGCTCTTCTAGGCTTGAAAGGAAATCTGGAAATGACTTTAGCAAGCCGACTTTCAACACTGGTATGTGAATGCTTTCTCGCAATTATTGATAAATACGTCATTCTTTTTCTATCACTTTTTATCAATATGAAGTCAACTGAAGGTGTAGGGCTTAAAAGGATGTTTCGGTCACAAACCGAAATCCTTTACACATCAAAAAATTTACTGTTGCTCCTTCTTGTGTTGCACTAGCTGCGCTCATTATCAGATTCACCCTTGGTGCCCTATGACACTGAATTCCGTGATCATTTCACTGGAAGATTGTATCTCAAGCCCCTCTTTAGTTAGAGTGTTACTTTTTGTGAGACAGGTGTCGTATCCGCACGTCCAAGGCCTGAGCCCATCCGCCAATACGAGAATGAACAAATTTGAGACGCTGGACATACTTGTTCGTTTTATCTTTTATATCCGTCGGATCATAGCACTTGTACTTTTCTGCCATACCCAGTTCAATAGTACGCACGCTCTCCCACAGTGGTGGTTCATATCAGTTCAAGTCAGTTGCCTCGTTCGCCCAGCTTGGCTAACTGATCGAGTGCTGAATTCTCTTCGTTTGCTAAATTCTATTCGCTTTTGTTGACCGTACTCTGGAACGTTCATAAATAATGTCAATGAGTACTTCAACTCCTCATTGCACTCACTCCGTGTGCCGAAAAGATTTGACCCCGTTTCTTTGCTAATCTCTACCTTTTTTTGGATTCTGGTACTCTTATAGACCTGGCTCTAGATTTTGGTCCGAGTTTTCTTCACCCTCACATTTTCACTCAATTAGTTCGAAGTACTGATTATGTTAGTGTATTTCAGTAGCTTAGCTCTTTCCTCACTTATACTAGCTTCCGCGCATACTTTTACTCGGCTGACGCTCATTTCGCCACCCACCTCCATGAGCACGATTCACTTCTGCCACCGACCATTAATGTTGTCATTCTGCTTACTATATTCATTCCAACACTTTCCCGGACCCCAAAACGTTATTAGACTATGGAGCTAAGAAGTTTCAATCTTAGCCCACCTCTGAGCGCACGCACCGCCCACTGTGAGAATATGTCTACCCCTTTCTTCTAGCCTCTATTCGCTTTATTTGAACTCTTTTTTAACAGAGTTACTGTTTTTTTTTTGCATCTTACACTCGATAGCATACCTCGCTCATTGTAGGGAAGTTCAGCAAGGTCTACGCATGTCTGCCCTGCCTCAGAACTTGCTGCTCCTGTAATTCTCTCCTGGTCTTGAATCTCTTCTGAAACCGAGTTAGGATCTACATATTAGGTTGAGTCATAAGTCCTCGGACAAAATGATAGCGATGACTTCTAGAGACAATTACTCGGGAAAGAGGAGACGAAAATGGACCCGCGTGGCACTGTTAGATAGAGTATAAAAAGCTCTTCCAAATACATGCTAACGAATATATCTAACTGTTTCCTTTCCTGCAACTATGCCCCATGATTTCAAGTCGTCGCAACTCCACCTCCGCAACACCATCCTATTTCTTTTTTTATATGGCCAAGAACCGACGGAGATCGATGATCCGTATCAAAATATTCGTGAATTGGCAGTCATCCTGTCAACCCACAACTATTCGTGGATTGAAGTCAATCGGCAAGGTGTGAAAGCTTGGTTGATGGGTGCCTCATGCTTTGAAGTAGTATGACATGGATTTTCGCGCCATTTTCTCTGCCATTTTCTCTCCTCACGCTCATGCGCAGGAGATGGTCAGGTGTACACGTTAGAGCTTTTTATACTGTATCTAACGATGCCTCGCGCGTCCATTTTCGTCTCCTCTTTCCCGAGTTATGATCTCTAGAATTCATCACTATCACTTTAGCTGACTTATGACTCAACCCAATAGAATGTACAGTCCGCTAAAAGACCCATCCGCTGGGAGGACCTTCACTCACAGCGGTCGGGTCTCCATTGTTGGCTCTAACCACGTTCATAATTTTTGCTCGTGTTTTATCACTGTCTCGACGCTTCTAAAACCAAATCAGGAGGTTTGGCGCCGCCCAGGCAGAGCTCGTACCGCTCCAGTGGGCGAGGCTTCCTTGGGCTCTGTTGACCCTTCTCTAGGTTCCACCCATTCAATGCTTGTCTCGACTTCGAATGGAAGGACCTTGGGCAAGGTCGTGCCGTTTTCAGTTGATACCGTCTAAGGCAAATAAAAGAATAATATGACAGTTGAGCAAGCCTACAATACCAACCCATTTCTTTCCTAACTTCAATATTCTATATATTCTGGTCTACATTAAAAGTTCCATAGTAGGTGAACTATCTCTTCTTAAAGTGTGGGATTTCCTCATAACTTCTCGGATAAACGTTCTTGACTTGCTATTTATTTCAAAATATCGCAGGCCAACCTCGGACACTTGGATTCGGCATCACAGCGAAGAGAAGTCGTCTGTGCAAACCTGGCTTTGATACAGGTTCAGGCTACTGTTATTGCTTTCCTGGCGTCAGCATTTGCAATGACTCTTGCGTGGATCCCTAGAGGACAGGTTGCTTCAACAATTTCCTCCTTGAATGTTTTCTTTTGTGTCTTTCTTTCTGGGAGGTGTTCAATTTGATCCTTTGATTTCTCTACTTAAACGTTTTCCAGTCAATCTGAAGTATCTGCTTTGTCAAATGGATTTTCAGTTTGACTGGTCGCATGCTGCTCTTCTCTGCGCTTCATCTTTGGCTACCGCATGTGTCGCTTCGCTCGTTCTTAGTATAATTATGGCTTTGGTCGTTGTACTTTCCAGGAAATACAACATCAACCCAGATAACGTGGCTACGCCCATTGCCGCTTCTTTAGGTGAGTTTTGTCGTCCATCTTCGAAGTCCAACAATGTTTCTGTGTTCAGGCGATCTGACAACATTGGCTGTTTTGTCGACGTTTGGCAGTATATTTCTAGACGCTCATCTAACGGAATCTTGGTTGAATGTCGCTATCATTGTAGTGATTTTGTTAATAGCCCCTATCTGGATTCGACTTGCTCTCCGTGATGAGGGGTCAAAAGAGGTAGTTCAATCTTACCTTTATTCGGCTCATTCCAGTTCAGAAGTAACGTAGTATTGTTGTCTTCTTAAAACTATTATGCTGCGCTTCTGAGGAATCAAGCTTCTCAGGCGATTCTCTTTATTCATCCCCACTTTCTGTCTGTATGCTGGTTACTTTTGCTTATCTGCGTTAATTTCTTTTTCAGTCTCCTTCATGGTTTTACTTCTATCTTCCAGGTGTTATCTAAAGGATGGTCACCCATAATTTTCTCTATGTTAATGAGCAGTGGTGGTGGTTTTATTTTAGAAAATGCTGTTCGCCAATATCCTAATGTTGCTATATTCCAACCGGTAATCAATGGTAAGTCGTTTGTGTAAAATCTTCGTGAACCTTCTTTCAAGGTTAACAGTTAAGGTGTTGGCGGAAATCTAGCAGCTGTTCAAGCAAGTCGACTTTCGACATTTTTCCATCAAACAGGATCACTTGGACAGCTACCATATGATTGGAGCATTCAGCGTTTCCTCAGTGTGAAACGCGCTTTTTTCAGCAAAGGTAAGATATCGTTTTTTCATCTTCGGAAATTCTTCTCGATATATTTGCCCTCTATATTACCTAAATAAAGAAAAAGGTGCCATGGCACGACAGCGTAATCGAATGCACAGTTGGAGATCTACATCATCTTCAAGTGGTATTCCTGAGAATGATAATTCAACTAAGCAAAGCATACGTTCACGGGTCACACTGCTGCCGTGAACCTTCTGCTATGTTGCGCATTAGAGGATGTGTTTAACCATTCGAAAGAAAATAATTGAGAAAGTGTCGCCCTTTTCCCGGGTTACGTAGCGTACTACTGAAAAGTCGATCACTCTATTTTAAAGAAAAAGTTTCAATTTTCAAGTTTTCCTTTTAATTTTATTTCAAAACTTCCTATGTGAGCTTATGTCTACTAAAAGTGTGCAATTTCTTACACCATCAGGCTCTCGTGAGTCCTCTCTATCGACCTCTCCAGTAACAGTAAAGTAATTATAACCGCTGCAGTGAAAAAGTCTTCGTGACTGCTTACAAAGACTCATCCACTCATATTATGTATACAAAATAGCGTAGTTTATTACTACAGCTACTTTTTCAGCTTTTTTTTTACCATAATATGATAAAACTAGTGTTTCGAATAACCTGAGTGCTGTTATTCCACATTTAAGTTTAAGAAAAGGGTTAGGTTTAAAATTACCAGTAACATTTTTCCCTTTTTGTCTGCTTATGGTTCCGTTCCGTTCCGCAAAACTTGCATCATGTAAGCTAAACTTTATCCCATTTCATTCAGTAAGGTAACGATGCATGTTTTCAGTGAGAATAAACCAAAATTCCGTTCAGACTCGGATTCTCGATCTGCTCGTGTTCTTCTATTTCTTGTTGTGCCTGGACACATAGCTTTCAACTGGCTCATTCGCGTTTTTCATTTCGGTTCCATTGTCCCACCCCATGGTGCTCTTTTCACAAGCCTGTATCTGATAGCGGCTTTAACTCAGGTTGGTTACTCGCGAAACTTTTTGGAAATTTCAAACTCAATTTCTTGCTTTCGAAAATTTTTCGAAAGTTGTCGTGTTCAATCTCAGTGTGTCTCCTTATATATGTCATCAAATTCCGAGAATCACCGCAATGTGTTTGGTAGTGAGATAGCTAATTTGTATGCATACTGGTCATGAGCATAACATGAGTATGTTATGTGAATATGTATACATTAGCCACGCAAGAGGATGCTGTAGAAGATTCCCCTCAATCTTCAATCGCCTGCAGAGAAAACTTCGAATTTACTAATTGAACGGCAATTAACTCACTCGTTCGCTTCTTAAAATTGGTACCACATAACGTTAATGATATCCTTGATGTTTGCGATCACCTAAAACCATGATGCTTTTGAGGCATCAGGTACTTACCCTTTGAGAAGACTTGATGCTAAGAGGCAACATGCGGGTTGCCCATACGAACCTAGTTTGTTTCAAAGATTCCATCTTTCGCCATGAACAGTGCTAATGTTTTTACACCCTCCATCATATCAATCTCTGGACCATTTTGGAACGGGACGCAATTTTGTTTCAAACATTTCCTATTACTATTTCTTGGGCTTACAGTATCGAAGAGACCGAACGCGAACCTTTTGTGCGAACCCGTTCTATCAGTTACGGTTTTCTGATTTCCCTCCCCATGGGGGATTTGTTATATGTACTATCGGCAGAAAATCAGGTCATGTCGCATTGTTACATGCATTCATGCATGTAACAATGCGACATGCGCGGCAAGACTCAGCTCAATTTTTTATGTGAGGATGAAAGGATAAAGGGCAAAGTCTCGGCGCGTTATTCGATCTCGTCTGAGGGATGTGTCCACACATTCGACTACTCAAAGTAATAAATCGAAGAATTGAGCGCACTTCGTCTTCATAGCAGTTACATATGCACTGAAAAGCAGGAAAAATACTAAGTATTGCGCAGAAAACATTACAGATGAGTAAGCTTGCATACGATCTGTAAAGTGGGAGAAACTATTTCTCTAGAGAAAACCCCAATCTCTTAGCTGAAGTCTCTCCACGGTTGTGTGTGTGTGCATATTCACTACAAGAGATGTGCATCTCAATCGTAACGGGTACCGTTTTTTCGTGCGTGATGTGAACTTTATTATCTCGGCGACAGAATCGCAAGGAAGTACAGGTCTCCGATACAGGCAGAAATTTGTGTGAGAAATACTTAACAAAAAACTAGGAAGACTTAAAAAAAGGGAAAAACGATAGCACAATGATTTTGTGATTGCACATAATTACAAATGTTGAGCATCTGTGGTATCATTAACGTTCACATGTCACAAATTTCGCTTGCTTAACTGTACCTCCTCATTCATTGGGGAAAGCAAGAGTTCGCATCGCAGCCAATCAAAGAAGTGTTACAGAAGCTGCATAAAGATCGCCTGAACTACTTATCTGGATGTTTTCATGCATTTACACCCACATGTAGCGTACGCATTAACTAGCTTCCTCACATCAGGTTGCGGTAGTTTTCGGCGTGTTTTAGGTATGCTAAACCTACTTCGAAACTTCCTCAACTCCGCTGTTCATTCCCGATTCAGAGGCTGCCTAAGTATAAATGAATTTTCTGTAGACAGCACCGTTTACGAAGAGAATAGGTCCTGACCCACTTATGTCAGCACAACTCTTCCTCTTTATGCGCTTCGTTTGTCAGTTCGGTATTCAAGCCGTTGCAAACTTCGTCAGGTCCATCCGACTGGTTTTGGAACTTCTTCTTTGACTTATCCCCACTTGATTCAATGAATTTGTTTAAATGTCAACATGTATAGTTCTTTATTAGAATTACTGTTGGGTTTCATGATGTGCCGACAGAGACAGCTGTCTTATACAGCCCCTTGCGCTCAGAATGCACAAAAATTCCGGTTTGTATTGGGTACCTGAGAGGGTGCAGTGTACTATTCCTGTAGTGTTAGCGGAAAAAGTCCGAAAGTCTCTGAGATGCTTCTGAGCGATTGCAGAACTTTTTTCCGGTTGAGCATTCATTTTTAGCATTAACAGCATTGTATTTGTTTTAGGTGCTTATACTCCTTTACATATGTCAGTACATGGTTGCGGTGATGTGGATTTGGCGGATAAACCCTGACAACTCCGCGATACCCTACCTCACCGCTCTTGGTGATGTCCTTGGCACATTATTGCTGTTTTTGCTATTCTTGTTCCTTGATAGCGTCAATTCGAAGGAGATATTAGTAACCTGAGGCAGAGGATATCTTTATTATCTAGGAAGAAATACATAATGATACATATTTAGTAGGTTAACCAAATAATTTTCGCTCTTTCATAGTTAGCCGCATTCATACTCATGTCCTAGCAATAACTTATACAAAAAATTGTAACAGGGACTTATTAAAGTGCATTTTTTTCTTATAGGAACGCTACTATAATATCTTCTTTCTATCTTGTAAATAACATTAATTTTTCATAAAAACTTAACCTAGTCTTGGAAACTATTCGTCTGTATATAGTTTTGTGTGGTGTTAACTTTGTGATGTTCTTTATTTTTTGGTGACGGTTTCTACGGGATAATAAAGGTGACTCAATATCTCTGTTATGTTCTCTTCTGTGTATTCATATGCGCAGGCAGGGGTTTTTCCCCAACCTTCACTTTCGTCATTCGCTTTCGTAAGCTCTGTGTTGATGTTTATTATGGATTCATTCTATCCAGGTTCCTGATGGTCAAACTTGGGGACAGAGTCAGTGTTGGTGGCTATGGTGCCGTTGTCAAATACATTGGCGAAGTTTCGGGCCATCCAGGAGTATGGGTAGGAGTGGAATGGGACAATCCAGAACGTGGGAAACACAATGGTGTCGTGAAGGGCGTTCGGTACTTCGAAACTAGGTACAGTTATTCTTACTCGACTTTGGATAACCTCTAGGTCTCACCATTTGTTTGCTCTACTTCTAACTCAACTTCGTTTTTAAGCCTAGGATGCTGCCGGGCAAAATTTGAGACTTTGCGCACTGTTAATTGAATTTTTTCGAAACATAAGATTCTGTTTCATGTTGTGTTCCCATCTTTCCACTAACGATTTTGACACAACTTGCGTTAATAATATATATCGTAGTTTCCCTCATGTTCACATTGATAAACTGCAACGTTGGAAACATCGGATCCGCTTTTTCAGCTCTGCGAAGGGCGGCTCTCTCGTCAATATTCACAATGTCAATCCTGGTGTGGATTTGTTAACGGCGATTTCCAATCGCTATGCTGATGCCGTCGACGAAAACGTTTTTGTGGTTAGTAGCAAAGCTGTCGAGTTGGTTGGCATGCAATCGACGTCGAAGAAACAGAGGTTTTCTTCCAATCCGTTTCTTTCTCAATGCTTAATATGAATGATTCGTTTGTAGTGATATTTTCGAGTTGAAGCACATCGTGTTGGAAAGCTGTTCTGTCGTTGAGCCACCTCCAGAGAGTTGCGCACCGTTCAAGAAATGTATCACCCTGAACCTGTTCAATAATTTGCTTTCACAATGGAAGGACATTCGGAGGATATTGAAATATTTCCCGAAGCTTCGAGAACTTGTGCTCAGGTGCTTTCGATATTAGAGATTTCTCTCCTAATGTTATGTCAATTGGTTGCCGTGCATTTTCCTCATTTGAGCAAGAATTATTCGACGTGTTTTTCCACATATGCCTTGAATCTGGGCCACAGTAATAACTGTTAAGGAAAAATCGCATGGAACCAGCTTCAAGTGGTGAGCCCTGGCATGAAGTGAAATCCCTTCGTGATTTGATTCTAAGTGATTGTGGCCTAACTTCTGAATCGGTAAGTTGCTTTTATGTGCGGCTATCATAAAATTGCTTAGGGAACCACACGAAAAAGTGTCATTATTGTTTTTCAGATGGTCAACATTTTATGCTATCTGCCTTGTATTACGAACTTGTATGCTGTAAGGAATAATTTCACGCATTTCCACGTTCCGGAAATGGCTGATGGCCTCACGAGTCTCGACATTGGGAGTAACCCGATTTCATGCTTTTCCAACATAACTGGCAACCTTAAACGGTTCGGTCCTATTTTCCTCCTATTTGATCGGTTTTGATTTATTGAACCACCAGGCGGCTACGCACGCTCTACTACGCTAGGGGCTCTGACCATGGGAGACGCAGCGGCATGAGCTGATTTTCATTATAGACCTTTATCGGATTTATGAGTTTCCGCTCAAACATCGCCTCCTGGGGGCGGAATTTGGTCCTGCGACCCACCATGAGTGTTCCCATCCTGTCGCCTGTACTCCTACCGAGTTTGAACTTTCTAGTTCCGTGGGGACAGAAGTTATGAATTTTCGCATAAACCCCGCCCCCTGTGGGCGGAGTCTGGTTCTACCACCCACCATAAGTTTCCCCAACACGGTGTCTGTACTCCTACCGAGTTTGAACTTTCTAGGTCCATTGGGACAGAATTACGAATTTTCACCCAAACCCCGCCCCTTGTGGGCGGAGTC